TAAAAATAAAAGTATCCCCGAATTTAAGTTTAGACATGAATTGAACCTGAATTCAGCTAATTTACAGTTGTATCCATTGCAATAAGTGATTCTGCTAAAATTGGTCAAAATTTTCCCAATAGAATCGAATATGATGCTCACTTGAACTTCTATCTAAACCTATTTTTTATTACCATGTTTTTATGAACTCACTTTCTTGTCTGTTTGTCCGGATCAAATTTTGAAACTCAAATTTCACTCACATCCTGACTAGCTATCAAGCTGAAACTTTCAGGATAGCCTAGAAACTGATGACAATACAATCTTTTGTGAAAAAATTAATTTTAAGAATATTTTTTTAAAAGAATAAAATAATTATAGTAGATTAAAAAATTAATCTAAAAAACCACGTTTTTCAAGTAAGACTAAAAAGCAAAAAAAAAAATTAGTAGATTAAAAAATTAATCTAAAAAACCACGTTTTCAAAAAGCAAAAAATAACCTTAAACATGGTGCGCATGGAGATTGTTGGGAAGAAGTGAAATACAAATGAAATAGATGCGCACCACGTTTAAGGTTATTTTTTGCTTTTTGAAAACGTGGTTTTTTAGATTAATTTTTTAATCTACTAATTTTTTTTTTTATTTATACTGTACCTGCCTATGACGCACACACCCTAGCCCCCCCCCCCACCCTCAATTTGATTTTCTTTAATGGTGCACGTGATACTCGAGTAAATACGGTACTGTATTATGCAAATGTCAATTACTGTAGCCGTGATACAGCAGTAAACGTGTTTCCGAGAAAATGATGACATTGCAAAGGCTCTTTTAGATTCAGAATCAAGACTCAATTGAGCAAGGAAATTGCATTTTGGTTGATATGTCAATCCATGCGCAAAGTCGTAAAACATTGTGACTCTGAATGTGCGGTTTTATTTTTTATATTTTTTTGAATCTGATGAAATTTTGAAAGGTTTCGTATCGGCATTTCATCTATTTCATCTTCCTACTGTTTTTTTTTGTTGCTTATCTTAAATTAAGACCTGGCATGTATCGAAAAAAAGAAGGAATAAAACACTAGGAAGAATAATCCGAAAGATAAATTAACGCATTTTGCGAGAAGACAACTTTTTTTTTTTACTTACGTGCTTTTTGTAGTTTTCTTTCAAAGGTTTTGTGTGGTAAATTTGGGAAGTAGAGATCAAATATGTATTTCTTTGGACTAAAATTGCCTTCCTTATTTTTTTTAGATAATCGATACCCCCAGTCCACGGTTAATTTAAAATTCTAGTTGTTATTAGTTTTTATATATCCTGGTAAAATGCTGAAATAATTTTAGAGCAAAGAATAACTACGGTTTTATAGGTCAACATTTTCCATCAGCTTGCGTCCACGTCCTATATAAGAGTGTTGGACAAACCCATGGTCCGCGGACCGGCACCGGTCCGCAAAAGTTTTTTTGTCGGTCCGCGGGGAATTTTTTTTACAACACAGCGGATTTAGCGAAAGTTGCAATGGTCTTATCTTTATTTGAAATTTTGGAAAGACAAATGGCAGTCGAAATTTTCCAATGAAAAGTAAAAGTTGGCTTTTCTCCTTATTATGACAAATCCTCACCTGTTGGAATAATTTATTTTACATTTTCATTCAGAAATACCTTTTTTGAAGCCCACGTTTCTAATTTTTTGAAGACATTCCACTATAGCTGCTTCATTGGTTCTTAACATACGTTTTGCAAAAACACGAACTTTTCAAATGCCTGCCAAAAAGTCTTTCAAGCACAACTTTTTCGAGTCTGCAACATTTTTATGAAACCTTGCTGGTCCCGAAAAGCATTTCGGGAATTTTCCGCTCCGCCAAATTTTGGTTTTTGGGAATTTGCTGGTCCGCAAAAAATTGTATGGGAACTTGCAGGTCCACAGGCACAAAAAGGTTTGGGGAACACTGCCATATGAGATTCATGGGTTCCAAGACTTCTGAGAGAGATCCTTGGTTAGTTTTTTTTTTTTTTTGAGAGAGAGAGAGAACGGGGACGACATACGGGAACATTCTGCGACTTTTCCTCTTCTCTCCCGTCATCGAAATCAATGATGTGAGGGGCAGAAAATCGGCGTCGAAAACGGGCGGGTTTTCGGAAGCGTACCCCGAATCTGCTGGCAGATGGGACGAGAGGATGAGCGCATACGGGAGGGCCAGGAAGAACCCGCCTGGGCAAATAAACAATCGCTGGCTAGCGCTCCGCATCTCTTGGCGCCCCTGAACATCTGTAGCGTGAAAAGAGACCATTCAGTGAGAGGTGTTCCATACATAGCATAGATGGAATACTGTACATACAGATCGCAAGAAACGGGGGTGGCAAGGAAATTCGTCGGACGAGTTTCCGCTCACACTGCGCCAGGGGTGGAGACAAGCTTCCTTCCTCACCACCAGTTTGGAGATGATGAGCGAGAGACGATACCATGCTTGCTGCAAAAGCAGGGGGCATGCCAACATTTACCATGGACACCCCGACATGCAGCTGTTTCAACGAATATAGACAGTAAAATTTTAAATATAATCTCTCGAGATGTGGACACTTCATCAAGATTTCTAGAATAATTAAAAATATTATGTTTCACAATGTTCATAGCTGCAGGACAAATTAAACAGCTACCAGCATGGAAATGAAGTGAAAATAAATGTGAATAAAAACTTACTCAAATCCATTCTCCAATTATCCATACTTCACTATTTTTTCTTTCCTTTTCAGGAGTTTTTCCATAAACTATCTGTTGTACAATATCAAGACATGATGTGGGCTTGTCTTGTCCCCTTCTGAACTTTTTTTCACGCCAAAAAAAAGCTTCAGCGGGATTTTCGTCGGCACTGTCATTTTCTGCGTCTTGAAGTTGAAAATTTTGGGGACTCTTTCAAATTTATCCAGAGCATGAGAGATGATTGAAGATTTCCCGAATACTGTACCTTGAAACATGTGATCCAACATTTTGGCATTCTAAAACTTATGAACGAAGTTTTGGAAGTGCTGTAATTACCTCCGCATCTCAGGATCTACAAAAGATGCATACTGTATAAGTACTGTATTTCTTGGACAAGCCGAGCAAAATTTTACATGAAGCGAAAATTGAGAGCACATCTCTCTGAGGGTATACACACATGAAAATATACAGTAGGATATGATGTGGATTCTCGCCCATCAACAAACGCCTCGATCGTGTACCTGGAACAATCACCTTGCTTGATGAACGCATTTTTTCAATTGCTCGCGTAACCAGCATCAGCGCAGTAGAATCGACTAATTTCGGCGCAGTTTTTGGCTAATCAATAATGGAAAAGCCCAGTCGGGAAATCAACCTCATTCGCAAAATTAATCATGGGAGGATGTTGGGCAGAAATTTAAAGAAGCTGTGTCTCATCCTAGTGAGACTACAGGTATATCCGTTTCAACCGCATGTCCGCCGAACGCGTACATTATACATATCAGCCTGAATGGAATAACAACTCATCTGTTCCAGATCACCGCGAAGACAACTGTTGCAGTATACATGTGGTGGTACCAGGAAATTATCTGGGACGTGTCCATTATCTTTCCCGTTTAGTGTGCGATGGGCACAAGGACACTATAATGTTCCCTAAAAAGTGTTGTATACTTTGTACATTGATGGACTTCACTGTGGCTCGATCAACTTATTAGTTAGGGCCCAACGGTATCTGAATTTATCCGAGAGACTTACGTAAAATCTGTTAAAACAGAATGAAATGCTGGTGGACGTAATTTACCATAAGCGAGATCGAAGTTTCAAATGAGATCGTGTCTGGTGAGTTTGTGGGGGTAGGCCCATAAACTCAGCATACAAGATCTCATTTTGACGGGGAAGCAATAACGCACTTCCTGCTTCACTCAATTTACAAATTTATGCACAAAATTATTTATATAGACACGAATGTAAAACTTCTGACCATCTTCAAAATTCACATGCAGGGTTGAGTGATTCCCCATTTCTGGAGCATCCGGAATCATATGCCTCATATCTTTTCCAGATTGAAAATGCCATGCTGCAACTCAACAAATCATTGGAATGTATCATGGCGGCCTGGCGGGTGAATCACCAGGCCGTGATTCATCGACAGTTACAATAAGTTGCACTTATTCATGGTTTGCTGGGAAGCATTAGTGAAGGCTCACTAATCTTTGCACAATGATCCATTCAACATTTTAGTACAGTATCATTATAGTACAGCATTGCAGAACAATTATAATAAAAGTAATTGTATTACAATTACTGTATAATAAAAGCAACTTTGCATCAGATAGCCCTGAATGAAAGTATTCAATTCCTTCCGCATCATCATGACCATGTCAAGAAGACAACCTTAAAAAAAAAAACCCAGAATTATCTCAATTTCTCACATCCTCTCCACGCACCATACACATTATTAATCCTGTGGAGACTCATTTCTCCACACAAGTTGGAACCTGCAAACTAAACCTATATTACATGCAAGCATCCAACCTCAAAAGACAGCCTGCAGAAACTTTTACTGTATATGGTGTTAATTATTCTGAGATGACCAAGATCAAGATGGACAAACCAAGGCAACTTATGAACCAAGTAACGTAATACAGTAATTTTTTGTACAATAGCTTGATCCGAGAGAAAGATCGGCATCCAACATTTTACAGTCAACAGTTACCATCACTTAGACTATTTTATGATGAAGCAAAATTTCCGCACCATACAATATTTGAAAATCGGCGTACATCTTCTCGTATAGCTTTTTGCATAAAAAGCTTTAAATTATTCGAAGTCTCGACTCGACGCAGTTGATGAATGCGGCTCCGAATTACCGCATTCCATCCGCGTCATTACATCGCAGTTCTCCGATGAGCAGAAGGGCAACGATGAAGATGAACTGCCGCTGCAACTCTAGATCTTCCAACTCTGGAAAGTCACTGGGAGAAGAAAAAAATGTTGCAATAATTAATAATGAACACGTTTCAATGAATGAACTACACGATACATTCAAAACTAAATCGTATATTTCATGAAGAACACTGAACGAAAGTTCGAATGCGACCAAAACGCACCAGAAAAATCCCGAAATGGTTAAAAAGACAACCCATTTTTTCCCGGGAACATCTTCAGAATGCCTCCAGAGCATAACAAGGTCGAGTTCGCCAGTCAACGAAGAGTAGACAACTTCTATGGTTCAAATTACTTCGCAGGGTAATATCACAACGTGTCGCTAGCTGATACAAACGCTTTGCCAGAAGATCCTTCCGAAAGAAGTGTGGTACATTGCCCCACTTCACACTACCGCAGAGTCAATTAAGCTTGAACCGAAGGTTTCTGGGGCACCAAAATGAACTACGTGAAAATGAAACGCTATCCTGCATGAGTCTGGATTTCGGAAACATCACCACGTCCGTAAGGACACGCACGAATCTTCCCATATCACATGAGCGCATTATCATATTTCAACGATATGACAGACTGAAAAAAATGCGCCTTCAAAACCGTGCGACGTCAGATCACAAAACACAGCAATGCGTACGCACACCCATTTCAATCGGGAACACCCACAACTTCCCAATACAGTACAATCCATGTCCGAGAGGTGAACAAAAATAAATGTATTGGAACTCAGAACAAGGAGGCGATCTTTTATGAATTTTATCGGGAACAGCCTCACGGAAAAAGGCTTCGTAAAAAGTACCCCCAAAGATCCAAACGAAAATTTTCAGTCGCAGCACGTCAAAATTGCAGCAAAAAAACTTTGTACGAAAATTACATTAGCTACAGTTTGAATGAACCCACGATGAAGCTCCTCTTGCACCGCGAAGAAATATTTTGGTCAGAAGTAGATTTTCCGCTCTTCGACGAACATTTCGAGATCTGCTGCTAAACAATGATATCGACGTGGTTTCCCAAAGACAACCAGTTGTTCGGCATGGTGAAAATGAGGAAGAGGAACAGACGGGATCACACATGAAACGGAATCTCGGCTTCATCTTTCACGAAACCCCCAAAACGGGTTGGACTTCACCTTCAATGCGGGTTCACCATTACTCCTTCCTCTCCATCATTTCCGGACACAACAAAAACTTCACCAGCTTCTCCACGACTCCTAACTTGGCGCATTGGTCGTCGCTTGTGCTCTTGGAAAACCATATTAGCCGCCCGATGACCGAGTTGTTCCTGCGAAAATGGATTCATGCATCATCTTTGCAATGATGTCAAATGAAGTACAGTAATATAAATTTTTGATCGGTTACGGTTTTCAATGCAACAGATGAACGGCATTCACTCGAAAACCGGGAAAGTTGCCAAAATCTGCCTGCGCTAAAAAAATTTTGCGCTGGTCAGGAGGGCCCAGAAGTGCAGTGAATTCGGAGAACATGAGAACTTATTCAACTTATTCAAGGGATGAACATGACTTTTTTTTCAAGTCCTAGGCCCTGGGTGATTCAAAAAGATACTGTATTTACGGTATTAACACTTTCCGGATGTTACCAAGATTTTCCTTTGTCCTGGCTTCCTTATACACTCAGGAGGATTCGTTCAAAACTCTTGAAATATCACATTCCCATAACAAGGGAATCATGCTGTTCGAGCAATAGAAAAGTCAAGAATCACTTAAAGTCGAGGGATGAGAATTCCCGGCATAAACTTGTTTAAAATACATCAGGAAAACACAATGAATATTATCATGTCTAACCAGAGGAGGAGCAGGTATGATATTATCATCCTTGATTTCATCTTCGCCAGGAACTGGTATTCTTCCATCGACGGCGTCATCACCTTCTTCCTGATTGCTTTCTCCTGAATAATAACCTCCAATTTAAAACCTGAATGTATAGTACTCTAAATACCATCAATGCAGACCAATGTAGTCATAACGAGGTTTCAGGCGGTCAACAGGAACCTCGGCGTCACCAACTTGATCGAAATGATGTCGGTTGGCATCACCATCATCGAAGTCGGCGTAATTATTCGCAACTTGATTCTGATCGCCTCGATGTGCTTTATTTATGGGGACAGCACCAGAGCGCCTGTTCCAACCCGGCCTTGGTTCGACTTCGTTATTTTCGAGTTGTGCAGCTTTATCTTCAACATGCAATACGTTCTTGACGCCGGCTTTCTTGTATCTGAAGCAGATGATGACAGAAGCCATCGGTTTAACTATTGGTAACAAGCATATATCACAGGACAGAAGGCAAAAAATTAGATGACGCAAGCTTGTTAAAAAATGAATAAATAAAAACATCGCACGAAATCATAAGAAGAAACAATCTCGACTAGCACGTGTCTTTTCCCCCAACAGTAAAACTTCATTTTTCGTGCCAAGGACTCAGCTTCACGGTAGAAGCTTTTTTTAAATGCTACTACAGTATTCCTTCGAAAACTTTGTTCGATGAACAATATTTAATGCAGCCCGTCAACGTTTTATAAGGGATGCTTAGATAAATATGACATTCTTACATGAAACACTTTCGAGGAGAAAACAAACTCGGAAAACTAGAAATTCACTTTTTAGAATTTTGCAACTGGATCGCAGAAACTGCTACATAAACGTGACCCACGAGTTGCACAGAAATGGCACGAAGATCAAATTCACAAAACCGAAACCCAACTACTTTTCCATCACGGACTTTTCTTTCAGAACGGAAGCCACGTTCCTCAATTCAAATGGTCTCCATACATTTTGCATATTCTACAGAGCGATTCCCATGAGCGCAGATTAGGTAACCATCAACGATAACACGGAAATAAAATACTGTATTTAAAAAAGCGACTCACACAGCGGGATTCGGAGGGAACTTTTTCAGTCGCTTATCCTTGTACGGATATTGACGATTCTGAGCAGCCTCATTGCGAAGTCTAGCCAGTTTGAGCGCAGGCCCCGGCTGGTCGTCTTCTTGTTCCTCGGCATTGTCAAGTGAAGGACGCTGGATCACATCGTCATTTCTCAACTTGAAAATAAATTTTAAAAATCCAGACTGAAGGTAAGAGTACGAAAAACCGAATAAATTGCGAGCCTGTGCGAACCTTAGCGCGAAGCTCATCTTCCGCGGGTGGCTTCTGTCCAACACCTTCTTCAGCCTTGGGCTTCGGTGACGATACCTTGTCTACATTCTCCCGGTTCGCTTCTTTGGAAGCATTCTGCAATTTAGCGTTGCCACCAACATTCATGGCATGTGGTGCAGGACCCACACCAACCTAAAAATAACAAAGGTTGAAATGGCGCGAAGGAACGACGAATGAGGAAATGGCACAATTTCAGCGATGAAATCCGTTCCGCCAAGAGAAACCATCCCGATTCCTCAGTATCATCAATGCAAATCAGAAAAGGTAGAAATAAGGAATTAAGAACAATATCATCAGACAGATCGGAGGGTCACAAACTATTCACATTTGATTTCTATGTGCTTACGCGATTCATCTTGCGCCCGCGCACATCAACCAACGGGTAATATTTCGGACGACTCACTCCGTCCTTCAGCGCGGCAGAATTTTCGACGTGCGCAGATGATAAGCTCGGTTTAATCGATGATAAGGCACCACCAGGGTTAATTCTCAAAGAGTCGTTCTTTTTGAAGCCTAGTTCAGCCAGCTTCGCCTGGTCAATGTTAAAAGGTTAAGTCATCACCGGAAATGTTAGTGAATTGAGTTTATCACATACGTGGGCACCGTCCAGTTCTTTCTGAAGTTCGACCAGTTTGGCTTTGCAGTTACCGCCATCTCCAAGCTCCACTTTCAATTCATCGATCTGTCGCTTCATTTCGTCCTGGGAATGAAATTCGTCAACCAAACTGACCCTCTGCTCAATAATGCCATAGAAAATCTCATAAGTCCAGACTTACAGTAATGTCTGACGCCTGCAACTTGTATTTCTCAAGTTCCCGAACAGCTTCATCCACGCGAGAAGCTTGATTAGCCTTGTCGCGCAATAAATCATGGTTCGTTTCTACGGCCTTGCTGAGTTCATCTTGCAACTCATCGATTTGCTTCCGTAAGGAAGATATGGTTTCCTCGTTTCGTTTTGAGGCGATTTCTTTGTCTGTGCGATCTTGCGTTCTGAGAGAGGTTAATTTTTCAACGTTCATCCTGAGCTTGTTCGTTTCTTCCTTGCGCGCATCGATCTCCATTCGCAACGAGTCTTCAAGTTGTTTGACTTTTCCTTTTGAGACTGCGAAGTTCATCATCTTAAAATGTCAATCAACCAATATTCAATTTCAATTTATTGCATTACCATGAAGCTGTGAATTCAGTGATTCGGCATTCTGGTAGCATTGACGAGCTTTCTCTTCCTTCTCGCGAATTTCATTTCGTGCGTCGTGTACCATGAAGAGCAGAACAGTCGTTCCGAAAACAAGAAATGTAAAAGTACCAATGACCAGCCTACTCATTCTGGCCGACCTCAGACTAAGCATCCTAACACAGCGCCTTCGCCAAACCAGGTGCCAACGATTACGCGGCACTCAATATTTGAGCATTCTTCAGCATCTGTAACACGATTTCACGAGGGACTTCTTCAATTTGAAAACCACAGAAAAACCAAAAGATATGCATTAAGACTCCTACGAACATGAGCACAAGTTTCTGTATTCCTCATAAAGCAACTTGTCTTCAAGGTAAATCCCGCGCAAAAAAAAAGCTCCCACCAAACTTCACTACCCTAAATGCGCACGCAAGAATTCCCCGCACCTCAAATTCATCAAAATGATGATTCTAGCGTTCCGAAAAAATAAATGCACACATCACGTGTGCACGCACCGTCTTCGGATGAAACGTACACTTGAAGAGAAGACGACAAATCAAGACAGCTCATAAAATTAGCAAACGATTTTCATCATTAAACTCCATTATTTATTCCAAGTAAAAAAATCCGTGAGTCAAAAACCTTCACTCGAGCACATGAAATTCGAAAACTCGTAGAATTACATTCGCAAGAAAACGAATTCAACGAACTTGAATGCCCACTTCAAAATGACTTTAAAATGTTTCGAGAAGTAAAAACTTGTTCAATCTCAGGAGGGAAATCCTCTAGTGATCAAAACTGATCTGCGTGAAAAAAAGAGAAACACAAATCACCAAAAATGGTCGGGCTAAAAAATGAGAAAAGAAAACTGAACAAAATCTATCAATGTATGATCAAACCACAGCCTCCAAATATAATTTTAAAATGGTATTAGTCACCAAGCACGAAACAAACATTTTCACCAGACTCTCTGAACTCTGGCAACTCACATTCCATTACCACATCTCATCACCTAATACAATTCTACTGAATCAACGGGCGTCGTAAATTCATCTCACTAGATCCACTCCAAAACATTCGAGTCATATCGTCGGAGTCATCGTCCGAGTCACACATTGTCAAAGGATTCCTTTCTAAATTTCTCGACGCCCACTTGTATGCGGATTCCTCGTGGAAGTCATGTGAGTTCACAGCACTCAGAAAATTGATTTCTTCACATTCTTCATAGAAAGGATCAGTCTGAAGAGAGACATGTGCTTCCTCGCTGCGTACCGAAGAATTAAATCACCAATCAGTTATTGCAAAAGATCTGGCGTAACTAACCGTAAGTATTCCGACGTCAATTCCAAGAAGGAGGCGTGAAGTTGGGTACTGATTACTGAACGGAAAATGATCTGAAACAGATGAATTTACAGATTCTATAAGCAACAAAACCCCGAATCAGCCACGCATTTCATGTCCCAAGCAACCATTTGCAATAAACTCACGGATTTCTACTCCCATACGCAATAGAAGCATCCGGTAAAAGCCTCCGATATTCTTCGCTGTCTTCATCATAATGGAGCAAAACGCCTGTACCGCACAACTAAAATAAAATGCGATACAGAAAAGTAGACCAACTTTGAAGTCCAGACGCCGAAATCAAATCCATCAAAAATCAACATACCGGGCAAATACCCATTCGCAAAACCTCATCTTTACAGAATTTACGTCGGCCCACCATGAGATATCCGATGAAACAACAATACTCAAAAGGATAGAAACAACAACCAACCAGATATACAGTAGTACTGTACATTGGGAAGTCACTAGCAGTTTACGCTTCCAAATATTCTTGGCTACATCATTGTTTTACAGATCACAACAAATGGACCGTGGACCAGCGTAGTTTTCTAACTAATAGCGCGTCCGTTGAAAACTCGGCATTCTTTTCCCGCTCCGCATGAGAAAGAGTGTAAAAAAAATAATCTAAACATTTGAGAAAACCTGACATCGAAAAATCATTGAACAGAGAATTTCTTCGCAAAGAAGCATTGATGCAAAGTAAACGTCCCTTCGCGCTTGCAGACGGTTTTTTGCTCGAAAACATTGCTGTACAGCAAATGATAAAAGTGAAGAACTTTTGAACTGATCTACTCACAATATCTAGCCGAAGACATAATATACCTTTGGGAGTATCATATTGTACATTCATAATTAAGAAAACCGTGAATTTCAGTGAATGTGTACTCACGGGAATCTGACCGCAACATGACATACCAAATGCAACCAGCATGTGGAACGTGAGATACAGACAGAATATGACGTATAAAACGCTGAACATCCAAACTCCACTCATCACCAGCCAATGCCCGGGTAACTTTGCATGAACATATTCCACCACGAAGTAAATATTCACACCGACCACCGAAATACTTAGCAGGGTGGAGAGTATACGAGTGATTCTGAAAAAGATTTTTAGTGCATTATACTGGTGTAAATTTTCGCATTCGCTCTCCACTTACACTCCACACCTAAATTCTCCCATGATAGCAGGCGAAGCCGAAAAAGTTATAGCCGGTAGCAGCGCAAAAGGCAATTGGAGACTCATGATCGCATTAAGCAGATCATTCATGCCGCTCAGATCATCTATGCTCTTCAGCATAGCAATGAGGAAGCATGGAATTATGGCTATCGATCGAGTTAGAAAAACTCTCTTCCATCGAACCCAAGTCAAATTTAAGAAGCCCTACAAAGAAAAAGAAACAACCATGAATAAAATCACGAATTGTTAACATTTCCCCCTCCCCAATACTAACCTCCATCACAAATTGTCCGGCGTAAGTTCCAGTCATCGTAGAAGACTGACCAGCTGCAAGAATTCCGATAGCCCATATATACATAGCGATCGCTCCAAACTGGCAGCCCAAGAAAACACCTCCAGTATACAGACTGGCATCCACTGGTTCCGTGTTATTCTGCGTAGATACGGAGACGTGAAACTAAAACCACCAAAGCTTTCTCGTGTTATCGTTTCTCACTGGAAATATGTTGTCGAACAAGTCGGCGGAAATGTTCCGAGCTATGCAGTTGCTTCTCTACAAAAACACATTCAACATCACCCATGACTTGGACACTCCCATTGTAAACGAATCGTCGTACTCACGGCTTCGCCGTTCGTGACACCGAACAGCCCATGCGCAAACACCGACGTCACGAACACGTTGATGAGGAAAGAAACGAAGAGCGCGACGCAGGTTTCAATGAAGTAGTATTTGTTCGCTTCTCTGACCTCTCTACGATGATGTCTGTTCACCACTCTGGACTATTAATACAAAAAAATTATACATCACCCTATTTACTCGTCTGGTAGAGCGCGCACCAGGGGTTTTCAGTAAAAAAAAATGCATACAATTCTATCCCCGAGTACGACGCGCACCCCATTTTTCGTGGCTCTAAACTTGCAGGTTTTCAAAAATAATAGCACCCAAAGTCGGATTTAGATATGATTTTATCCTAAATTAAATTCATTTTCGATCCTTTTCATTGCAGTAACTTTTCTCCTGAAATTGTTCTTAAATTGTTTTATTATACTGTACAGTATAATCGAATATAATGCACACCTCAATTTCTAAAACTTTTAAAAATGTATACCCGTTTTGACGCGCTCTCACTCCTGGGGGAAAAAAAGGTGCGGGTGATACTTGAGTAATGGTAATGCCGTTTAGGCCACGATATATTTCGAGTAAACGGAACTCACCTTCACTAACGCCGAATGAAGATAGAGGTTATGGGGCATGATAATAGCACCGACAATGCCAACAGCTTGCAACAAAGCTTTCTTATCGCAACCGGAACACCACGGTAAAAACATTCCCTCCACAAGTTCTCCTTGATCCGGGGCAACCACGATATACTGAAAATTCAAGAGATTGTTTCAATTCGAAAACAAAAAAAAAAGGAAGGTAAGCAAGACTCACTTCGTAGCCAAAAGATACAGCCATGACGGTGATCAGTAGTCCAAAAAATGCTTCGAGTTTACGTAAACCGTAACGATCCAGTGTCAAGAATGAGAAGGTGTCAGCGATGGTTATTATAACTCCACCCCAGAGAGGAATCCTAAAATTAACCAAAGTAGGGATATGCTTCTTCACATGCTAATTTGTAATTAGCTCACATCTTGTTCGACAGCAGATTGATGGCAATGGCAGTGCCAATAACTTCTTGCATATCGGAACCGATGATAGCTATCTCGACCATCACCCACAGTAGAATCCTTGGCACCCGAGGATAGTGTTTGTAGCATAACTGAGCCAAATGCATACCTGTGACCACGCCAAGTCGAGCAGCCAAGCGCTGCATCATCAGTCCGAGCACCGTGGATAACAGCAGTACCCACAAAAGCTGAAATTTGAGAAATATAAGAACGTCCACACAGAATCTGGAGCTAATTTAAAGCGCAGATCCACGAAAGTCGGAAAATTAAAGGAAGCAATATGAAGATATGTCTAATGCATCACTCACCCGGTATTGAGCAACGGCTCCAGACTGCAGATCAGATTCAATATTGCCAGGATCAAGGTAAGCAATGCTCATCAAAAATCCCGGACCGGTGAACGCCCAAAGTTTCCGAAAGCTGAACGATTCATCCTGAGATCAAAAATAGCAAATTACATCACATGGCTCAAAAAACTTCAATATCATCCTAGCTCACGTCAGCGGTGATAGGAATTTCAACTTTTTCATCCTCAAAATACGTTGTCGGACTTGGTCGCAAAGCTCCATGTGAGTGACCAAGGTCATCGCTCACGGCATTGCGAAGATTTCGCGAATCCAAACTCGCGCTGGGACCTCGCCGCCATCTCGAGCAAAGGCCTCCCATAATGAAAATGATTCAATTTTCCAAGATAAAGCTGAGTAAGATATTGTCACTTGAAAAAAAGAAACTGCGCGCACACTCGTCACCGAATCACATATCGGCAGGTTACGGCTGCATTACCTGAAACAATAATTCAGAATGCTATTCGACAATACACCGTGCGGCCGGAAACGCTACTATCCGCACTAGAATGATCAAAGTTCATACAAAATATCACTTCCCAACACAAAAGTCCTTGAAAATTTTCTCGAGAATTTCCTCCGTCGTGAATCCTCCCGTTATGGCGCCAAGATCATTGGAGGCAGTTCTCAGAAATCTACCAGCATAAGCCGCGTCGGGTTCGGTACATTCTGCAAGATAAATCTGCAAATCATGCAAAACGTCCGCACAAGCTTCCAGATGTTTCCTGTGACGCTCCCTCGTGACAGCTGCTTGCAGCGGTTGACTCACACTTGAAGATTCACACCTCCAAAGCAACAGAAGCTCAACAATTGAATTCAATTTAAGCGATCGTTGACTCACAGCTCGGAAACAGCGCGCAAAAGCGCATCGTAAGTTGACTGGAAAACATCCGCTGATAAGCAAGACCCGAGAGTAACAACACCATCGCTCAAATTCTTGAGCATTGTACGATCTGATTCGATAAGTAAATCAGATTTATTCAATATGAATAAGCACTTCTTTTCGCTCGGATCAACCGAAGCACCGACTAATTCTTTCAACTGAGTCGCCAAGAGTTCTCGGAGATCATCAACGGTTTGAGCTGCACCAGAATTCTGTGGAAATGCTACTTCCATCAGTGTTCGAGGGAGATTGCAACATGAAACGTACCAGCATTGTGACGTCAACGACAAAAACCAAAAGATCGCAAGCTTGTAAGATTCTTAGAGCCCGCTTCATTCCTTCATACTCAATATCTCCAACGTCTTCCGCAAGTCTGAGACCAGCAGTGTCCTGGACTACGATAGGATACGAACCGATTTCAATAGTTCGCTCAACGACATCTCTCGTTGTTCCGGGCTGGGGCGAAACTATAGAAACGTCCTCGCGAGCTGAAAAGTAGGTTGTTATTTTCATGTGCAAGCCAGAAAAAAATTAGCAGTATTGCAATAGTCAAGTCTTACCGAGTAAATTAACAAAACTTGATTTCCCCGCATTCGGGGGCCCTATGACTGCTACTTTTACGCCCTCCTTTATACGTTTACTCTTTTTGGCGGACTTCAGAACTGAACGTATGGATTTTTCTAGCTCCAAAACATTCTCGTCAAGAGAAATCCAAAAATGCTGATCGTCCAAAGCATGCTCTTCCGAAAAGTCAACGAAAGCTTCCAATTGCGCTCGCATCTGTAATGATAATAATTACTTATACGCTTCAACCTATACCCATGCACTGTTAAAAAGCGATTTCATTTAGAGTTCATATTCCGTGCATGATATGTCCCCTACACAAACGCTAAAAGAGCAGGACATTCGTTAATAACTCACGGAGCGCGTACCGAGTTAAGCCATCGGCTAACTATCCAATTTATCCAACGGAGCATTCGTTCGTACAGCACTTCGAATCCAGGAATTTGATCCACTGTTTCATACACAGTACAGTACTATACAATGGTTATATACACCCAATCTCGACTGTTGCATAACATCGAATTTGCGTAGTGATTGCCGAACAATAAATTTAATACTGAAGTCCTTCAAGGTCTTCCATCTTCTGCAAGGGAAATCCCAGGTCCTTTTCTAAAGATGGGACTTCCCATCCTTTTTGGGAATTTATCTCATGAAGAATTTCGTCCAAGGAATAATATTCAAGGCTGCACGAACGAACAATGCATCAACACCCATTCTCCGGGTACATCTTCGATGAGTAGGATTTATCTTACGTCTTAATCTCTTGCGCAGACGGATTAAGAACGTTAATCTTAAATTTTTACTGTGCTTGATGTTTCTTAGCTGCAACAAGAAGATTCATGAATACAAGGGATTTCCGGTTTCCTCGTGCAGGGAGGTGTTCAACAGGAAACGGAGCATTTTCAATTCTTCAGAAGTTTAGAAGAGCAGAAGCACAATCCAGTTCAATATTTGACAAGAAAAACTCATCCGATTTTGAAAAAAAAAAAAATTATTAAAACCCTGGAGACTCAAACCATCTTACAAGAATAATTCATCCGAAACTTGAAAATGAATTTAATTTCTCACCACGTCTGGGTACTGCGGAATGTATAGAAAATTGAACCACATCAGTTGTGATATTCTCTGCAAGGTATAGTACTTCATAAAAAGGAAAAAAACTGCGCAGAGATCAGGTTAAGTTGCTACAAACCTTTTAAACATGCGAACAAAATTATTAAATAAATTTGTGAGCTTTCTATAATCTTCCAGTTCCCCGAAATGATATTTACGCAAAGCAAAAAGCGCAGATAGCTGAACTCACGTGTATAACAGCATCGTTCATTGACGAGTAAAATTTGGACGAGGATCCCAGCAACGCACACACCGCTTGCCTGCGTTGGGCCTTTGTTTCCGCTTCAATCAAGTCTGCTATACCCTCTGCCTGACACAGAACAATTAGCAATAGTCATGGAAAGTTCGTTCTCTACGTCAAGTACTTGAATGAGATCCAGTTTCTTGTTGGCGAATGCTCTTTGCGTGAATTCGCCGGGAGCAGCGATTCGACAACTGTTCACGGAAACAATAGCTTGAAGCAGCCCTTCAACAACGGCTCGACCCCCATGAACATGGAATTCACACATATCTTCACCCGTATAACTGTGCGGTTCTAAAATGCACATTGCCGAAAAGCTGATTTGACATTCGCTAATACTGAATTAAAACTCACTCGGGAACCACAGGACCAGTGCTTTGTCAATGAACGATTGATCTTCGGGATGGATCAACTGTCGAAGAACAGCTTTTCTGGGTTCCGGGATACGCAATTTAAATGCCTCCAAAATTTTCGCAGTTGCTGAACCGGAGACACGAACAACACTGACGGCGGATTTAACAGCGCCTACGAAGCATGACACGGAAATTATCAAAACCTACCAATTGAAATACTGTAATATGCTGATCACCTGAAGACAAAGCACAAATTGTGTCTGTATGAGATAGAGCACAGCAAATGCGCATTCTTTCCAGAACAAGGAATCGTTGCATTGATCGAAGCATCTGAAACAATATAGGATAAATTCAATAGGTGTGCGAGTATTTCTGGCGAGGCGAAATTAAATGATGAATACAAATCCACAAGGTTGATTTCAAAGAGCTTTATATACTCGATAACGATTCTGATCTATAAGATGCATTCGCGGGTATTACCTTGAAAATCAAATCACATATCACTCGGCTTCCAAACATGACACACAATGGCTAAAAAAAAGCTAATTCAAGTCCAACAAAACTTTCTCTCCAGGTTTAAACGGGGGCATTCCGAGATACGGACAGGTGGAGCAACGAAACGCATCGCCCAGATAACAACTTCCGCAAGAAGATTTTGGGGCGTTCTCGTCAACTTTCTTCTCGCCACTCAACTCTTCTGCCAAGCCGCATGAACAATCCTTGCACGCTTTTCGCTTCCCAGTTGTTCCACAAACCTTCAATGCAGACGGTTCAGGTTTCTTCTTATCTTCTTCAGTCAGTAGAGTATTCGGGTCGATCAAGTCATCGTCTTGTAAATCGTCAGCATCAAGAGACCAAACCGCTGGCTTAGAATTCTTGGCAAAACTCAACGGCATAGTTGAGCCGATGTCGAAGTTGGGCTTGTTACAATTTACAAAAGCAGCTCCCTCTGGACCGGATGCGTCATTTCTTAGGACACTAAAACCACCGATTTTAGCTCGTGAAGTAAGGGAATCTTTGCCACCTTTCTCGCACACAACCAGACATCCTCCAGGTTTTAGTAACCTCAGATAAACATTGAATGCATCGAAGTTGTGTTCCACTTTGAACGGGTGGAACATTCCCGAGAGTATTACATCGAAGGTTCCACTGGGATGGAGTGTTTTCTCCAAGAACTCGAAGTTCTCGAGACGAACTTGTCCTTCCGAACCAACCCCATCCTTTATCTCGTCAACAACTCGCTGAAGTTCATCGGAATCCAAAGGAGAGCCCCACACAATCAACACACTCATCGTCGGCTTCGCATAATTCATGTACCACGCCATTTTTAGCGAATTTTCACAACCAACCGAAGTCTGTGAATGAAAATGAATATATTAAGTAGGGAAATATGGGGTATCGATGAATAAATATCCTGATAAAATGAATAACGCAATTCATATTCCCACAGAACACTAGGTTGATATAATATCTGTCCAAACACAAAAATACCCATCTTCTTCCACGTGTGCTTGCTCAACACAGCAAACAATAAGTGCCTGTAAAGCAATGAATGAATGCGAAGGAGTAACGCGAACCCGCTATACTCACCGAGCAATGCAATAAATTCGAACAAACTTTACAAACAAGTCATCCAAGAACTTAACGAGAGCGAGGCGAGATGTCAACAGATAAAGAACTTGAAGAGGTTTCAAATCAAACTTCATCATATTTAAGATCATATGCCCAAGGAAATGTATCATCCATGAATGCACTATCCGCAGGAGAGTCACAAGAATTTACTAAGTCGGAAATATCTGAGTTTGGTGAGAAATCAGATTCTTGAGGCGAAAGGGGTTCTACCATGTATGTACACGGCTCGGTCTTGATCCCCAGAAAATTGTCGCTGACACTGGAGAAAGATGATTCCTGAATTCTGCTAGAATCGTCTTCTTCCGGGGAATCCGTTAAGGAGTCAGCTTTAAGCTTGGAGAGGATTAACTGTTCCCAAATTTCAGGGACCTTGAGGTTTATGCTTGTGCAGCCTTTTGGTATTTCAATTCGGATCACTGGGGCTGTCGAGGCCGATTTTGCGCCCATCTTCATTTGCAGACTTCGCGGGGATTTATTGTTTAACGCATAGACGTGATCGTTCGCCGTGCAGCATTCCTTGACAGCCTGTTCCATTTCCGAAACTGAGATGATAGGAGTGCTGTCCATCGACTTTCCGCTCGTCGTTTGCTGCGGAAATTAGTATCTTGATTATCTTGCACAATGGGCATTGCCAAAGTTCGAGGAATACAAAAAAAATTATGGTTTAAATTGTTACAACAGAAAAAACTACAATACTTTAAAACGCGAGAAAGTAAAACGTTCGGTCATGGAATTCGGACGGGACAGTATCCTCTTATGCGAACTGCTGAAGCACACTTTTTACCTGATCGACTTCAGATGATAGCGAGGATTCGTCGTCGAAGTCCTCTGATCCGCAAAACGGTGCGAAGTTGGCCAACGTTTCTTTCCACACTCGCTGGAAATCGTCGGACGAGCAGTGTGGAGAGGATTCTTCGACGACATCAAGGGGATCAGAAACAATAACGTCATCCAATGGCGAACAAGCCATGTCGAAGTTTTCAAGTGAGAGCCCTGTTCCCTCAGCAGGGGCGCATTAATGATCGCAGCAGGATCAACAGGCTCTTCACTCGAAACGGACATAGGCATTGTACTCGTGGAGGACGTGTCTGTCGAGATGTCTTTCTTCAATTCCTCTAGTTCAGTTTTGAGGGTAGAGTTGAGTTTCCACAGAAGTTCATTTTCGGTTTTCAACTTGATTAACTGCAATGAGATGAATCGTTCTCAGATCAAATGCACGGAGATTGCCAAGATATAGGAGTTTTGCGTAGTTAGCACTCATTGTTTTCGGTGCTCGTCTTCTATGCGAACCCAGTGAGTTTGGTGCAGTAGAGTTGTTCTAATCTGGAGCCTACGTTTATATGTTTTTTACGGTCTGTTCTATTACAGGATTTCCACCACACATTGCAACCATATGACCATTCTCTTCAGTAAGAAGCTCGATAGATAATCGAATGACTTGAATCAATCATTTTTCAGTACTGAGAACCGAAACTCGCTTATAGATTTTGATTCTGGCAAACGGTTCAGAAGTTTGAGAAAAATTATACCTCATTTCTATAGTCGAGTAATGTAGACTCAAGATCGTCGACACGAGCTTTTTTTCGATCTCTTGCTGTTTGAGCAGCAACGCGATTCTTCATTTTCCGACGCTGTAGCTTCTCTTCAGGAGACATGTGATCCAGACGCTGACGTTTGCGGACTGATTTCGGCTTATCCTCGGCGCGGTCCATGATTTCAAATTCATACTTCGACGGGACAGCATGGCCCCGCAGAAGAATGGTCGAGTTCGACGGTAGGACAGTATTCGGCATTGTAACAAAATGGACTGATTGACGAACTTAAACTCGAAGGAACGATTTACACAGAAAAAGCGAAAAAGCACGTTTACAAAACTTTTAATCACATCACGTTAAAACTCTGTCACAACATCTTCCAACGATGTTTATCGCTTAGCCTGCAAAACCTGAAGAAAGCACATTTTATACTTAAAACGCATATCAGTGATTTTGAATCGTTGAAAATTCACATAAATGCATACGAACCAGCATTCATTTTCGGTCAATTATTCATCCAAAACGAATCCGATAAATATATCCGTCATAAAATATGCATTCAAGTGTTCAGAAACGTCCGTACTTTCCGCCCATGAGGTACAGAATCCCCTTAAGATTCTGCAGCACATCAGGAAGTATCAACTTAGCATTACTCAATCACAAAAAAATTCACACCCCTTGTTTTCGTTAAAAATATACTAGCCGTTCTCTGTTACAGTCACTCGAAGACCTTGAATACGTTCCTCGCATCAACCTAGAGGAACACCTTTCTTCAGGATGTCAAAAAAATTTCGCAGATTTCAATAACGTATCACAAAGAACTTGAGCAGAGGCTTCAAATTGGCGGGACGGCATCATTAACAGGAAAACCGAGCGATTCCATGGAATGTAAGTCATTTGAATCTTCCAAGAACACGGGAATAAAGCCCCAAGAAAAATTACACCCAGTAACGAAGATGTTCAACTTTCACTTGGTAGAAAATTTCACCTCAAACTACCACTGCCTCCAAAGGAAGATAATGTTCTATATGCTCCTTCTTTCGATTGCGAATGAGCAACAGCAACTGAAAGGCACTGGACCCATTCTTCAGCATGTTTTCCGTCTTGAGCTTTAAGCACCAAACTACAGTCATCCGTGAATATCTCGAACGCCTTCGGTATCGTTCTTCCACCGCGTGAAATCGTTTTCACGCTTCTTATCTGGGTAACCTCAATCGGCCTGCCTTCTTTTTCATTTTTCTAGGGAAATATTCAACTTATAAATTCGTAAAATTCTTTCGATGAAATTGGTTAAGGAAAATCTTACCGCTCCACGGTACGAGAGATGACCACCAGAAAGGGTGAAATACCGCGTCCGCCAGCGGCGAAATATTCTCCATTTCCCTTTCTTCTCCTTCAGCTGCCCCTCTATGACGGGTTGGTCTTCTTGCAAAAATCCATGAGCCCGTTCGGGATGATTGCATAGAAAACAACCCCAATGGCCGTTCAACGCATTATACTCGAATACGTCGAAAAATCGTGCGTGTCGCAATTCGTGTATCAAGGTCTCTTGCTCCTGTGAAAAATGCGAGTTTTATATACTGTACTTTGGGTCGACTCAAGAAAATCCCCAGTACAGTATATAAAAAAGTATTTTAACGAGTAAACACGGGAATTGTCGGATATTTGCAACGATCAGTGTGTCGCTTGCATTTACCCAAATAACCAATCGCATCAACACAAAAAATAAAATAAACTTGCAGAATTCTTGCATAAAACCAGGCGGACGGTCAACGAAAACAGGCCAATGGCTACGAGCATAAAGAATAGCGAACTATCGAAGGATGTACAGTCCAGTACTGTACTTCCATTAAGCCCAAAGCATTCAAGGAAAATGCATACTGTAATTGACTTCTTTCCATATAAAGCGGAAATACTGTGCTGTAACTCTAACCAACCACGTGAACGACACACGATAAAGAACTAAAATCAAATCAAGTCATACTTTGTATGGAACGGCATTTGTCTAGGATTCCCGTTCATTTTTGAATTTTCAGGGATCTTTTGAAGAGACAAAAATTTGACTGTCGAAAATGAACAGGTAGTTTGTTTTTCAAAGAAGGGTAGACACTTAACAGCACCTTCGGCTGATCTTAACCTGCACTCTATCTCGACAATTCCTTAAAACGTACGAGTTTCGTAAATTTCAACACCAGAAACCATCATTCAAGTGATGCAAAGGAAAAAGCATTCTCCAAAATCTTGTCAATTTCAGTATTTCCTTTGATTGAACTACAAAAATATACAGAAAACCACATCACAGAAATTCATTTCGCTAACATACAAGCGGTCGTTCAAGATAGATAAGTAAGAAATCAAATAAATACCCTCGGATTTGGAAACGCCGACGTGACCAGCGTGACGAACGCACGATTTTCGCATTTCAGCGTGTCCCAGCAATTTTTGAGACTGCTCACAGATAGCTCCCTCGTACTCAACGCCGTGGCAGACCGTGCCTGCAAAAAAAGTCAAAAAAGTAAGTTAAAATGTTTTGTGAAAGGCCAAAGTGCGAGTATGCGCCAACGTGGGAAGACCACAAATACATGATAATTTCATCAAACATTCTTCGACGGCAATCCAAACAACATCGAGCCATCCAACGCTTTTAGAGACCGCGTCAATTCGTCGAATTCCGGACCCACGGTCCACAATGTCTCCAAATCGTACTTTTCTCGCGTTTCTTTTCCAAAAATATGCACTACAGACGTTCCACAGTCAATTGCTAGCCAGGAATCTCCAGCTCGCGCAGATCCTTCCATTTTCGGCGGAGAGCATCCCACCTTAAGCTTCCCTTTCAAAAACTTCGTCGTTTCCATCCCGGCGGCGCGCATGTGCCGTGCAGACACACAAGTTCCAATAATCATGTGATCCGCATAGCTCAGTTCTTCCGGCAAGCGGATTACGCAAATATCTCTCAAACTAAATTCGTCCAAGAACTGCACGATTTCATCCACAGTAATAGAACCATACATTGGACCGAGATCCTTTGATGGCTTTTTGTAGTCTGATGTTCGCGGAAGATTTCTTCGATGACAGCACTTCACAGACGCATGCAAAAATCGCGAAGCATTGAGAAGCGGCGATGGGGCGCGTAAAAGATTCAACATGTCGTGAAATTCTGCACAAAATAGCAAGCGATGCAATACAGAACAGGAAGAGTGCATAATCATCAGTCAAAGCAAAAATTGATACCCCATGTAACTTCAATCGAAGCTGGAATGCCGAGGCATTCTGGGGGACATAGTATGACATTTCGTACAAAAAACAATCCCGTCACCCCATAGACATGAAAACCGTACATGTATTGTGAACGACAGCACATGGATTCTGAATTTGGGCAAATTTTGAGCTAAAAACGATGAAGTGGTGACCCAACGTTTTCGGACTCACCTGAAGAGCGAGAAACATCAGGTGCACCCAAAGCCTCGGCTGCCGCGTTTTCATGGTGAAGAATGTTTTCGCGTATAAACAGTGTTCTCCTTTTCCTTGACACGCGAAATGTAGTCGAGCATGCTTTTTGTTTTTCCTCTCTGAAATCGTCAGAAACCCGCTATGAACACAAGACATCTTCAAAGAATTCATTTAATTAAGCCATTTCACCTTCAATTGTGCATCGAACTGGAAGCGGCAACGTAACGAATATCTTTTGCATAAATGCCTTAATTTTTTCCAGGTGTTTCTCACAGAAATGCTGCACGGCATCTCGCATAGGATACGGCTCAAAAACACTAATTCTTTGGAGATTCATAGACGGAACAGTCTGGTTTCCGGATATCAATACTGAGGTACTGCCTTTCCGGTAAGACACAAGGTTAGAAGGTAAGGATGGGGGAGGTTGTGAGCTCGAGTTGGACGAGAACATCGTCATTACTGATGTAGCATTCATGACGGCGGTCGGCGAACTGCTGGACACTGTTGCCTGGTGGTTCTGACCTCCTTGATTGGTCAAGTTTCCGTTCGTATTATAAACCGTTCCCATCGTCGGTGTCGAAATAACAGAACGAGAAGATCCTGGTATATTCATTGGTGAGACAGTACCTGCCAAAGATTACCATCATCACCAAGATGCCGAAATGGGAAATGAATGCAAATGCCTCTTACACATAGAATATAAGCAAACCATTACTACCTGTTGGCTTGAAGTGCGGCACAATCGGTACACCGACAGTCTGAAGAGCTAGTGACGAGGGTAAGACACCAAGTTCCATCGGAGAAGCTGAATTAAATGGAACCCACGCTGAAGGTCCATTACCGGTGCTTATACCCGCAGTTCTCGTGCCTGATGTTACTGGCGCACCACCACGGGTATAAAAGTTGGTATAGTTTCCCATCGTCCCACCGGGCTGAGGAACAACAGTGACTCCGATTGGCGTTCCAGATGGTTGAACCATCGTGGGTTGTGCAGCTGAAGTCACAGGTTGACCTGCGCCGGAGTTGAGCGCGGAGCTACCCGCTACTGGACTGGTATTGATTGCACTAACCAAAGACTGGCCACCGATGGCAGACCAACTCTTGTACATGTATGGCGTGGTTACCTTTCCTGATGTAGACGTTAATTTGCTCGTGCTGTGATGCACTAAGAAATCATAAAGCCACATTAAATCAGTCACAAATTTTCGAAGACATATGTAAACCAAGAGCGGACTTACAACTAGGAAGGGCTTTCGGCTTCTCGCGGACTACAGCTGCCGGTTGCGGCGGTTGAAAAGCTGAGAGACCAACATTGCCGCTGTTGCCTGTCATCCAAGATATATTCGCCAAACGCCCAGTAGATCTCGTGTGCGGCGCCACTTCTCCAGCACCACCAAGATTCGCAACGCCAGAGAATTTCATGCGTGTTGGCGTCAGTGAGTGTGGAGCGTTGCTGTGAAAATTGTGAGAGCCGGATGACGCCACATTCTGGCCCGCGTTCAAAGTTCCACCACTTCCGTTGTCCAGTCCTCCGTTTGAATTCCCCGCCCCTGCATTGCCGCCGACTTTCACAATTGTAACACCTCCAGGTGTTTGATTCACTGTTGTGGATCTGTAATTCAAGGTATCTCGGGTCTTCAGGAAATATACTTGAGGATAAAAAAATGCAAAGTTGACAAAAACGGTTTCTTATATTTATTGGAAAATTATAATAAAACGCCACACAATAATTGTGGCGACACGAATTAGAATCAGACTGGACTTCAATTCAGTTCGGTTATTTGTCAAAATTGAGAGCCATTAAAAGTACAGAACTCTACAGTGTTTCAAATAAGTTTTTACTTTAGGGCGCAGCGTGAAGAAGTGACTTCGGCATAACGTTCGACTTACGGATCTTTTTTGCATCAACTCACCTTATGGTGTTGAATTCATTCCGCAGATGATGTAAATACGAGCGCGCATGAGGTTGACAAATTTCCGCGTAGCTTTCAGCTTCTTTGACAAGCTTTTCCGTCAGAAGTGCCGGATACTGATCACAAATAGTGGTGAGCTCTTTAAGAGGAATCTCGAGCTCATTCGTGCTAACTTGATTGAGACTATGAAGCAATTCTTGCACAGCATCCTTCGCTCTTTCCTGAGAATTATCAAGATGTTCGTGCTCATTCAGACATACACGATTGTCGACGTACCTTGTTCATTTTCCCAACAGCACCAACAATTTGAAGTAAAATTGGTAAAGCCTCTTGATCTCTGTGCGCCATAGGTCGTAAGCGCGGAAGTAAATCTGCGAACGGCTGCGCCCGATTACGAGCCATTTGAAGGAAGACCGACATGGTCGGACAGAGGGTTGCTTTCTGACAAAGACCCTCGCATAACTGTGCCAAACTTGGTTCCAAAACCTGCTCATTCATGACTCAATGAATATGAGACCATCAAACGCACCTGAATCGACATACCCTCGGATTCTTCCGCGCCATCAATTCGAATAATTCAAGAAGGGCAAGTTTGTCGGCTTCTTCGCAGTGAATCAGAAGAGAAACAAGTGCCATTGCATGATCATGCAGAGGTTCACATTTTACGGAGTAGATCTGAGGCAGTACCTGGGAAAGTCCATAGTTTCCTGCGGATTCGTTAACATGGCATCATTGCTACAAAAATATATTCACCAAGAATTTTTCACGATAGTTCACCAGCAATCACAGAGTCAATGATAGGTTGAACACAGCTTTGCGCTAGTAAGTCCGCATTATGAACAGCAGCCAAAGAAAGATACTTGGACATATTCCTCGATAACTCTTTGTTCCCTTTGTGCAAAAATTTCACAGCGACAGGAAGAGCTAATCGCATTACTTCCTTTCTGTGGTAGTTCAGGAAGAGGCAAGAAATAATTTCTGAAGCAATCTTCGCATGAGGCGGATCTTCTCCTCTTGCGCTCGGCTTCAGATCATGACATAAACAGCATTCCAGAAGAGATACGAGAGAGTTGGCATGCTGTTCCACGACTTTCAAGTCCCTGAAATCAGTGATCAGCTATACGTACCATTCAGTTAAACATATGGGATTTCAGAGGCATCCTGGTACCTGATGGCATAGGCGATCCGTGTGATGAATATTTCCACCACACTCTGATCATTGTCGTTGATCACGTAATCCGGAGAAGATATGATACTGTAGATTTTATCGAAGCATTTGGAGAAGTCCCGAACAACAACGGCATCGTCTAACGCGAAGAGATCACCAGCCTGCAGAAGAACCAAGCGTCAGGTTTTGGAACAATCCCAGTACTGTACCACGATACTCGCCTTCGACAAATCCTTTTTGTCCAAAACTTCGGTGAACAGAGAGTTCATGACAATTTTGCAACATAGAAATGATGAATTACGGAATGGCCACTGTGCACCGATAACTCCAGCGGTTTCGAAAAGCACCGCCCATATTTCCTGTAATGCACTGCGCTGTGAAAGAAAACAAACGTTAGCCTCACGGATGAAAACATATTTTTTAGAATACAAAAACCACAAGTCTGCACTAAACTTACCAACAGCATCTTTAATCTTATTCAGTTCTCAAGTATTATCCGACACTCCACATCGTTCTAACGTAATTTGCCACCACGAGATGAAAAAGAAAAGATAAGGAATGAGAACCTCGCGTGAATATTGCTCTAAGAAAATTTGAAGCGTGACAATGCATAATATACTACCAAATTCATACAATCATGTAGATGCAAGAACTTGACGTTAAATCTCTCTATCCTCTCAAAAAAAAACAAAAAACTATTTTTTCGATACACTACGCATATGATTAAGTCAATAAATGTTCATATGAACGATGCACAATATTCATCATGGACAATAGGACTGGAAGCTAGAAATTGGAATACAACGTATTCCGAACAATAATGAATATAGTCCTTCCGTCATGACGAGCGGGGCTAAGTCAAACAAAACAAAAGAAACGGAAGTTAATTGAGGAAAATTAGGAAGGCACTTGAAAAATTCAACGTTTCGAGTAATGAAGACTGAACGACTTGATTGAATAAGTCATAAGGTCTTGGGCAGACACAGACTAGCTAGGGAAGTTGCGGTCACAAGTCCGACAACAGCGGCGATGTTTCATTCCTCAAGTCCCGTAGGCTCGAGGATTATTCCGACTCAAACATTGGAACCCATTTCCAAGGGCTTTCTTATACATCTTCACGCCTTCCACAATACAGGTCTATCACGATGTGAAAAATCACAATGCAGGTCGCAATCGGCGCCTGTGTTCCAAACAAAGATAGTGTGAAAAAATGGTGAGGATACTAGGAGTTCGAGAAAACGAAGCTGTCGGGCGACCCTCGTCCAAAATGGTGTGTTCCCAAGATGCTGCCTCGATCCATTGACACAGGAGGCAAAGACGACTTAAAGCCAAAGGGCGGCAGATCTTCTTTGGTTAGCTTGCATGGCATTCACACCCGAGCCCATTCCTTGCTGACCGTGACCTCCATGGGAGATTTTATTCCATTTTAGATTTAATGTACTCGGAACGTTGGCAGCAGACATTTTTGACCTACCTGCATATCCACCACCATAGTCTCCATTTCCGCCGAAGTAGCCATCCCTAAAACAAAACAAAATTAGACATAACACTGGTTTTTCTTCGGGACTGAATCTCACCCATAGTTGGAGTGATAGGATCCCAGTCCAATAGCGGAGTTCCCTGACGCGAATTCCATCTGATTCTTCCTCGCTTTATCAAGGATGGACATAACTTTTTGTCGATTGATCTCGGCGGAAGTCTGTTGCTGGATAATGTTGCTTTGGCCGTTCGGCATATTACCGCCAAACCGCTGCATACCATTTCTCATGTCTGGAAATGAAGGCATCCCAGTAGGGTTCCTCTGACCATTCGGAAAGGGCCGCAACGGTGGCATGAGCGCTGGTCCATTCGCACCATTGATATCACCGCCAGCATTTAAAATCTCCATTTGGCGGAGCTGCGCTTGCGAGATGTCATCGGTCTTATCCTGCAACAGGTATGCAATATTCCTTAAAATGTTCCTTATACAGTATAATAACGATTCTGTGGAGCAATGAAATAAAAATTTACGTACGCTAACGGGAATCAAGAATTTGCGCAATTCTGACAGAGCATAAGCCATTCGAGCATGAGCCAGGGATGGTGATGCATAGGCGTGAACATCCAGATGTAATTCTTCATGAAGATGGGCGAATTTCGGATCTTTCGACTGACGGAGTTCTTCCTCCTAATTAGAATTTTCCGATTGATAAATCAGAAGCTTAAAAAAGCTTATAAATTCATGCAAAAAACATATGCTAAAAAATACGTGTGAGTTACTTTGTTTTTGTCCTTCATGCAACCACGCCCACCGACGGTCATCTTTGTTTGAGTATCTTGTTGTAACTTCTGGAGTGAAGTTCCGCGGGGGCCAAGCAGCCTCCCAACAAAGTTGAACTGAATAAATAACAATTACTGTAAATGTGTAGTCCTTGGTCAGTTTTTTTTTTTTTTTTTTGACATACCTTCGGAAATTCCTTGCAGGGGATTTTTATACGAGTATGGAGGTTGATCGGAATGTCACGATTCAGATCAACTGATTTCAAGGGATCCTGTCTACCACTGCTGACTCGACCAATTTCTAGACGCCGAATGAAAATTCTTCAAGCAAAACTATTTTCTCAACACACTATCGGAATCCATACCTTCCAGAATAAGCTTCAGGGCGATTGGACAATTCTCGAGCTTTTCAATGACTTCACGTTCTTTCTGAAGCTTAAGTAAAGTTTCGTCTTTCTTCGCCTTGGAATTTCCACGTTTTTCGTCGGTAGAATCAACACCGGACAACGACAGCTCGCTTAAAATTTCAAGATCTTCCATACTTGAAGTTTATACGAAAGTTATAAAGCAGAACAATTATCAGAAAATTTCCTGAAACAGCAAAGAATACATCAAACTACACGGACCGACGAGTAGCATTGATAAACAGAAAGCCCGCCACTAGTCGATCAGAAACTGATCTCGAGTTCCGGCAGCGGAGAGAAACATTGCACAATGGATCAACCAAGTCGGACGTCTTGGCGAAGACGCGTAGTGTTAAACAAAACGCGATAAGCTTCAAGCACTCCATTGGATTCAAACTTCCGTCGTTTTCGAATAGACATTGAATTGACTCACGAGAGCGCTACGATCATCTTCGCAGATGATATCCAACCGCGTTTCTGACGTATTTCAAGCATCCTTCCTCACTGATTATCACATGAATACTTCACCAATGTCATGAACTCAGAAGCCAAAGATTCACATTGATGAGAGTAATAAATGACAACCTCGCGTTATTCGTTAGTAATGATTACTTGGCGTTCACGGCATCAATGTACCATAACGTCCGTTCACTGTCAACGGCCACAGGCCACCGCACGGCTTCATGCGGACAATGCGTTCTAGACGTTTACCTCTACAGGATCGTCGCCATTTTTTGAACGTCGCAACAACACAAATTACTAGATATCAAAGAGACGGTCCTTGTCTCTCACAAGCGTCACTCCTGAAGCTAGTTCCGGTTGAAAAGGATAACCGTCGTGAAGTCATGAAACTCGTGAGAAAATGCCCACGGAAATAAAAAAAAAAAGGAAACGCACACTATGGCAACATTGTATTTCAATTCGTTCTGAGATCATTAGATGCAGCATGCACCCTCATTTCCTATTCTGCCAACAACATGTTCAGAAAATCCGCGCTGACGATAATTCAAAATTTCGACAGGTCCTACAGCAGTGATAATTTACATATTCCGGAAGATTATATTGCCCGGATTTTTAATATAAAAAGCTGAAATCTAAATCAAAAGACAATCACGCATTGAAGTTGGTAAGATGTAGGATGCTCGCGTTGTCAAAAATCAAATGCCACCGTGATCCTGTTGATTTTGGAAGGACATCGCAGCGAATGCAGCTCTGCAACTTGGATTTACTCCCAGGTTCTCCCAGTTGATCCACGTCAAACGCGCCGTCAGGTCTGGAAAAAACAAATAAAAATATTAATTCATGAAATTTCCTTCAGAGTTATTGTCGCACTAGAACTTTCGAAATGTGCAATACAGCACAGTACACTGTATTGCAACGAAGCTATAACGCCATTTTACTCCCCTATTTTCAAAATTAATATTGTCAGCCTCTTCACGTCTTATCGATACCTTTTAGAAATACAGTACTGCAGAACAATAAACTGCATACTGTACTGCATAAAAGCCGTTTGCTTAGTTTTTAATGTAAAACTGAAATTAAATTTTTTCTGGGAGACGAGCTCAGAAAATCTAGGAACGTTTTACAAACAACGTTCATTCAAAACCATAAATATAATTTAAAAAGCGACTCCAATATAATCGATTTTTCGGTTCGAATCATGGTTGCAGAAAAGGGCGGGTGGTCCACAAATGCACTGGTGCCCCACTGTTTTGATGTACTGCATCAACATCACCATATTACGGTAGGACCTTCATAAATTTAACCTCCCAAAGTCAAAATCCTCCCCAACCCCATATAAATTGCTTCGCTGCCTGATTTTCTTTTATGCAAGACTTCCATAACTTGACGACTTTCCCTCAAAAATCTCCACAACTCAAAATTTTTGGAGGCCATTGTCTACTATTTTGAGGACTCTTGAAAGAGAAAAGCTTTAAAAAATTAACTCAATGATTTTTTCAAAGGAAGTGGGTGACAAATTGGGAAAATGAACCCATTGCCTCCAAGTTCAGCAATTGTATCCTATAAACTCATCTAAAAAGTAGTTCAAGGCCCAGAAGATCATCAATTCCAACTCTAATTTTTCCCAACCCCCCACCCCAAAAGCAAATAGTCTTGCTTCCCTAACAACCTCAAACTTCCTTTGGAGTTTGACTTGAAGGGGTTCAACTGTGGTACAGCATGGCATTATATTATTTATTAAAATTGAATTACCGCTGGTGTTCCAGTCCTGTGTGCGATGGCCCGTGATTTCGCCGCGGAGACACTTGGCGATGAACGTGACGGGATCGAGTTCGCCGCAGTTGAGCAAGTCGCGGAGCAGCGCGATGTAGGCGATGGCGAGTCGCAGGGTGTCGATCTTGCTCAGGCGCTTCTCATAAGGAAACGTGGGCACGTGCAGGCGGAGCTCCTCGAAGGCGGAGTTGATGCTGTTGATTCGCGGGGAAGCAAACAAGGGCGGGCGTTCAGAAGGTGAGACTGCTTGCTCGTCTCTAATGCACACGAGTATAAGACACCAAGGCCTGGAATCACGCTAAAGAATTTCGCAGCACTGACTACTGTACAATACACAAATACAACGCATGCCGTTCAAACTTCCCCTCATCGTCAACTTTCATACCTGTATTTCCTCGGAAAACACCAAGAAACGCCCAAGCGTGAGACTCATCGGGGCTCATCATTACTGTGCATTACTTTACAGTATTCTTATTTGCTTACAGACCGGCATTGTCGGCTGAATTAAAAAAGGGTAATTTTGGGCATTTTGCAAGAGTGCCAGTCGGGATGTACTTGTCCAAACATCAAGTTGAATGATTGGAAAAGCGCTATAGTTAGATCAATGCCTTGAGTGTAATAATTCTGAATTAGGACTGGAGTTGAAGCTCAGTAATACAGTGGGTCGATCTTTCCATAAGAAAAGCAATCCTTTCCTTATTGATTCGTTTTGCCACGCCTAATTTTTAAATGAAATAACGTATGATTTATTTTGATTTATATGTATTGAAAAGTGTTTAATCTGTCCCAGACATTCCCCAAAATACCATAATAAACTTCTCAACTACGTTTTCTGCAAGTTTTCAGCATAAATTAGTGGATTAAAAAAATAAGTATGGAATTGACGTAATCCTGACAAGCTTTGGATCCAAAAATTTAAAATTTTGAAGACTGGATAAGGTAAAACTTTGCCCTTCTTCTCTAATTTCCCCCGTTTTTTTTTAATTCCAAAGTTTTATTGTAAAAATATGCTAGAAAGTAAGCTTTTTCCCAATGTTTTCATGACGTAGAGCAAGTTTGTTATGTGAGTCACTTTGAGGTTTGCAATGTGAAATGTTTGTTGTAAAAATGGAGACTCACTGTTCCTCATTACATGCAAGTTACTTTTTTCCAAATTCATTGCTTCAAGTTTACGCGAAGAAAAATATTCGATCAGGGCATATTTAATCACAAGAATAGAGGAAAAAACGGGGCGATATTCCGTGGGACCGCGAAATTCCTAATTTAATCAAAAGTTTGAAATTAAGCTATCGCAATTCACAAAAACGAAGATGAAGTTCAAATAAATGTTTGAGCATCGTTGGGCTTACCAATACAATGAGTTACTGTATATTCAAAATCACGGTAGTTTCCAATCTAGTTTTCTACCTAACCCTTATTGACGAAAAATAATTCCCTAAATATTTTTTACCTGTTTTATCGATTCCGAATTATTCTGGATCAAGCTTCTCCAAAAATTGAGTTGAAATTTTAATGAACGTTGTTCTATTCAAGTTTCACGGGGCAGGAAACTTCTCAGGTCCAACCCTGACCATTCTAACCCCCATTTCGTAAAAAGCACAACTTTCGCAATAAATACAAACAGAAAAAATATGGTTTGACGCATGGGGAGAAAAAAGAAAGGACGAGATATCTCACCTCAACATTCGCTTTCTTTCCCGGATGTTCGCAGCGTGACGTTGAACTCTGTACGGGGCTCCGTTATGATAGAAAACTCCGTCTTCGTCATTACAATCGAAGTAGACTTCGTCAGCTGTAGAAAACAAAACAAAAACATTCATCATTAATAATTTCGTCTCACAATGTTCATTTCAAATTGCTGCAATCTACAAATACCACACACTTGGCTTGCTCCTGTTACAGTACTTCACAAAAGCAAGACGGAGTAATGCAGATATACAACGGATTAAATCTGAAAATGATTATCCTGTCTCGCTGAGGAACGACAATCTTTTAAAATTTCAGAGAGTTCTATCTTACGATGGGTGTCAGCTTTTTCTTTGTTAGTATTTTCAAGCAGAATGATTAAGTTATCAGTTCGATCATTTTAAAATGCATTGTCTTGATCATCTCCCGGCTTCCACATAAATTTTACCCGGAGTATTTTGCTTGTAAAATTTAGGGAATTAGGAATAAAAGGGAAAATCACTCATGCGTGATTTCAAAGACGAAGATTTTCTGCGATTTCAAGGGATTCCGCAATGCAAACAAAGGGAAAAAGTCGACATCTACGTTTACAACTGCCGCTGCAGAATGAGGAATGGCTTCTTTAGTTTCATAGTTGATACATTATTGACACTTTCAAGTTTGGAAACGTGTCAAAATCGAGGAAGATTGCGTATGTGGAGCTAGTGCGGAGGAATGAATAAAACAAGAAATTAAATTTTTGAACAACTCGTGGTTGGTTCATTAGTTCATTCAAAATGCAGTACAATGCGCGTTCCGAAGCCAGACACTACCCCTTAAAATCTCGAATTATGATTCCTGAACTCCACGATGGAATAACTAGATATCCGTTGTGGGCGGAGTCTCAAAAGGAGCAATATGGAAGGAAAAATCCCTCCGCCCAAGAAGAAGCAACAACAACAAAATCTAAAGGTCTCATCGAGTACGAACGCCTCACCGTGATACGGGTAACCAAGTGGATGATGCTGCATGGCGACGGCCACCGCGGCGGCGGCGGGGTCGTACCTGCTGCACGGCCCGCCATCGTCCGCCACTGCTGTCGACGACGAGCCGGGCTGATGGGCCACGAACGCTGACGGCATGGCGGCGAAATCCACTGTGGGCGGGGCGTGATGGAGGTGATGGTGGTGGTGCTGCTGGTGGGACCCACGTTCGAGCCCCGTGTCCGGCGGGTACCCCGGTAGGTGGATCCCCGGGTGGTGGTGGTGGTGGTGGTGTTGATGGTGACCCGGTTCGGGAACCAGTGGTGTCAAGTGGTTCTGCGGGCTCATGCACGGGTGCACCAGGTGCTGACGATGAGCGTCAAAGCCGTCGACGTTGTGTTGCTGATGCTGTTGTTGCTCTTGCTGTTGGGGATGTTGTGCGGATTCCGCTCCTCTGTCCCCACCTTTTAATTACAATATACGCATTTTTATAACTTGATATATGACGTCACTGCTCACAAGATGATGAGCTAGCATCTACAATATCTTGTTCGCGCCTGAAAATGAGAACAACTTTGGCTTATGAAGTTTAAATGCATTTAACGTTAAAATATCTTTGGAATAGAAAAGTTTCTTGTTTCTAAAACAAAGGCTTTTCAACCAGTGTCATGTATGCAAAATTAGTGGTATACAGGTGGCACCTTGCAATATTCAACCTCTTGCAATTTGACCAAACTGCAATTGAATGGTCAAATTTGCTGGGAGGTCAACTTTCAATTTGTCATCTTCCACGTAATTCAACCTGCAGAGAGACATTAAAAATCAAATTCCACGTAGAAAACATGCCATTTGACATTGTCTTGCAATTTGACTACTTTGCAATTCAACCCTAGTCCAGCGATGGATTAGGGTCAAATTGTGAGGTACCACATGTAGTGGTACCTTCCAGATGCTTTGCAAAATTTTCTGAGCATCTTTGATTCTATGTGATTAATGGAAAAATACATGAACTTTAAAAGCTGATACAAGAAGTGGATGGGAAAAGATTAGCCATGTGAGGAGCAAATTGAGAGGGAGAAAGACCAATAATATGGAAATAATGGACTTTGCCAAAGGATTTCTTTGGGACTAGTTCTTATTTAGTATTGAATTTTAAGTTCACTACACCTTCATGTCATGTAATTTTTAAAAGACCATTTTAACGAAGATGTGGACGGTAATCTTAGATCATGTCATATTATACGTGGTACTTTTTGAACACTTTTTTGAAAAACATATACTGTACTTGCCTATGACATGCACCCCCCCTTTTTCCCCACTGAACTTGGATTTTAAAAAATATGCCTGTGGTACTCAAGTAAATATGACACACCCCCTCCTTACTGCCCGGGGCAGGTCTGATTTTTGCGCCAACCCTGGCACTAATTTTTGCGCCCCCCCTAGCCAGGCGCCCGTGTGCAGTGAACCCGCTGCACCCGCCTTAGGCCGGCCCTGTATGCACCTACTTTTTGAACACTTTTTTGAAAAACATATACTGTACTTGCCTATGACATGCACCCCCCCTTTTTCCCCACTGAACTTGGATTTTAAAAAATATGCCTGTGGTACTCAAGTAAATATGGTAAATAATGTACTGTGTAATAACTAATAAGGCATTGTTTATGTACAGTGGGCCCCCATCTTACGTCATCAATCCGTTCCAGGATGGACGTCATAACATGGGGCCGTCGTAGGTTGAAACCCTATTTCCCTTAAGATTACATTATAAAAAAATTAATTTGTTCCAGAAAAATTGTAAAAAAATCACCAAAAATATGTTTACTTTTTTGAATTTTAGCTGTTTCAATTTGTAACATTTTTCAACAAAAAGAAAGATGCTTGTAAAACATCACTGTGCATGACACCGTGTAAATAATTTTAATGTTTCATCAAAAGCAAATAAATTAGAATGGGCTAGACTAAAAAGTCTGAATTCTTGTTTCAGTTTTTCTTCCCAATTTTTCATCTTTTAAAATTTGCAAAAAAGGTAATCATGCACTGAAATGAAAATTTTAAACTACATTGAAAGCATCATGAAGTTCTCTGCACTTCCCATTTTTTAAACCATAAGATGATCCAAGTTGACAAATGTGAAAATGAGAATGTAAAACATTTTCTAAATGAATTCTTCCAGAACAACATGTTTTCAGATCTGATAATTTATTAACAATTTCCTTATTTACCAAACTTTGAATATTTAAAGGGATTAGAGGTGCAGAGATTTCTTCTGAGTTTTGTGCTTTTTGTTGAAAAATCTAGTAAATTAAAAATGTATAAGCAAAAAACTAGAACTTTTTAAATTTTGTTATTGTTGGTCTGATAATTGTGCTTCTTTTAACAATGTGCTCTTTTATAACTGTGCTTATTTTAATAACTGTGCACATTATGCACTGTCAATACATGAAAGAATGAACCATGCTGATTAGTCTCTTGATTACAAAATCTGAAAAAATTCTAGTTTCTTGCTCAATTCTGCAATTAGCTATTTTTTTTAAGAATGACAAATTTTAAAACTGCTCTGCACATCTAACCCCATTACACATTTAAACTAGGGGAAATTTTCTCTTTCACCAACCTTTGAATTTTCAAAGGGATTCCAGTTGCAGAGAATTTTCTGAATTTTCATGTTTTGTGTTGAAAAATCTATCAAATTACAGAATTTGCCATCAAAAATTAGAACTTTTTTGATTTTGTAATAGGATATGACTAATGAATGCTTAATTGTTTAATGTATTGAGAGTGAATAAAGTGCAGGGGTTGTGCAGTTTCAGAATGTTAGTGTTTCTGAATTTTTATCCCACAGGATGAATTTTCCCTCTTTTTTTTATAAAAAGGGTATTTTCTTAAAATTTCCCCTTTTTTCTTCCTATAGGAAACAGGGGAAATTCTCCCCATTTTTTTTTTTCAAAAAGAGGGTTCTCCACATGGTTGAAGCTCTCAAGAAGACTGACTATATGTGGATGAAGAGGTTTTCTTTTTTTACTTATTCCTGGATTCCTTGGGACACAGTGGTTAAATTTTTTAGGCATGTGATTGGCCTATTAAGGTGCAGTCAAAGACATCACAGCCTGAACAGAAAGCATCAGAATTGGGGAGGGGGGAGGGAACTAAGGGATTTTAAGTTTTTGATGCTTCCTGTGTCTTGCTGTTTAAGCATGTGATTGGCCTATTAAGGTGCAGTCAAAGACATCACAGCCTGAACAGGAAGCATCAGAATTGGGGAGGGGGGAGGGAACTAAGGGATTTTAAGTTTTTGATGCTTCCTGTGTCTTGCTGTTTACTTTAGTCAATTTCGAAGTTCTGAAAGTAAATAATTTTGCTGGCATGATGAAGCGCCTCATCAATGAGTTAATGATTCAATGAGTCAATCAATGATGATGTGTCTGGCGCCTCATCATGCAGGCACACCCCCTCCTTACTGCCCGGGTCAGGTCTGATTTTTGCGCCAACCCTGGCACTAATTTTTGCGCCCCCCCTAGCCAGGCGCCCGTGTGCAGTGAACCCGCTGCACCCGCCTTAGGCCGGCCCTGAGTTTATGTAAGGGAAGGGATTAGGGCAGACCACTCCACAGCAGGGAACGGTTTACTTACCCGCCACTTCAGGAGACACGGGAATTCATGCAAGGAAAAATCCGGGACCGCAGCAATAAGGATGCATTGGTTTAGATTGAACATGGTGATTTTCCAGGTAAATTATGTTATGAAATGACACGGCATTCACGGAGAAAAATCAAGACGAGTCCATCCAGCAACTTCCGGAAATGCCAACATACGCACCGAGCATTTTAATCGTTGGGAAATCACGGTTAAAAGGCGAGCCTTCATTATCAGAAACTATAATACTGTACTGATCAAATTATTTCTGGTCATTATGAATTACCTTAATGCACAATAACATGAATTTTCTTAGCCCAAGAAATTGGAATGTAAATAAATTACCAGGATTCAGGATTCTCATTTTATCCTTGAAATAATTGTGTGCAAACCCAGATTGCCAAGTCATGCTTCAGTACAAGGATCCCCCCCGGTCCAACATTTGAAGTCACACAGTTGATTTTATCACAGGATACAAGTTCTGCAGTTTCTCATGAATCTCATCAGACAATTACCAATAAAGATGAGGCATTAAATAATCAACACATTTGTTCAAATAATGCACCAATCATAGGCCAGATATTTTATTTTTAGGCACATGCTTTCTGAGGCAAATCAAACCTCATTCATCTTCACACTGGATCAAAAAACAAGCTTTATTTGCCACTTTTCAGCATTCAAAATAGGTTCAAAGGTAATTCCCACTACACAGCAGATGAGTAAAATCTTTTTATGACAAATAATTACTTACAACACATTCTTTTTTTCTCCCTGTCCAATAGCCACAATGTTGAATGAGTTACTTCATACATATTCTTCAACACATGCTAAAATTAACGGAACTTGCAGTTCGAGGTATCACAGAATCCATTAAAGGTGATCTTCACCAGTACAGGAAAACGCGGTAGATGGTTTCAGTTTGATATTCAGTCTTCCTGGAAAAATATGTAGGACACGGAGTAAGTTATGTCTGGACGAATTTAAAATAATCAAGCCAAGCCCAAAATGGACTTCAAGACGAGCAAATTTCAAAAGGCAACACGGTAACGAAAAAAAAAAACGATTTTTGAACAGCGAGTGCTGACGAGTAAAACGAACCAAAAGCCTTTTTCTTGAACATCTCTTTCCGGGATAAAACAATAAACCGTGACACATCAAAAGGATTGTCAACGAAATTTCGAAAAAGTGTGCCTTGACTGATGTTTATCACCAATTCTTAGATGACAATTTCTGATTATCCTTTAATGAAGAGTAAAAAAAAAAAGAAGCTTTCGTTCAATACCAAATATTGTTCCGGAAATGACTAGAAAAGATAATCATACAGGAAGTCTGCATCCAATCGTCGATTCTTTCAACTCAACAATGTAAACCAAATTATTTTCACGACAGCGGAGAAGAAGTACTGTACGTAGCTCTTGAGGTTATTTTCTTAATCAGTCACGCTACGCTAGCTCAACGATTTCTCACTTGTGCTTCGTTCGGGACTGATGAACAGTAACCTTGCCCACCAGATTCCTTCTTGATTTCGACTCTCTGCTATGATTCTAGTTTGCTCTTTCAAGTTTGCAATAGTTGGAATCATCAACTTGTGGAAAGATTCAGGCAGCGATAATCAAACTTCAATGCGCGAAGAACAGCCATCAACCCGTGCAAAAATTGTGATCAGGTCATACATTTCGCAAAATTTTCAACCATAAAACTGAAAAAAAAGAGCAGAATATGGGATCCGAAACAGAGAAGAATACATCCCTCAGCCACAGTTCCCAAACAAGAAGTGGAGCAATCGCCTAATTTAATTCTTTAAAAAAAAAACAGCTTCGAAATTAATTTTTGATACATTTGAAAAGATCCTCTGAACATCGATGAAGGGCGAACAAATTGACGGGAGGAGATTTAAGGGATTAAGAATTACGTAGAAGACCATGCGTTACGGAACACAAAAACCCGTAGAATACGGTACAGTATTCTAAAATACGGCATGTAAGTAAATTCATCAACTCTCATTCTGGAAAAAAGGTACCGTAATGCTTTTTGGAATGCACATTGAACACAATACGTAAAATACAAATAGCCTAAAGCGGGAAAAATCATTGGTTCGCAGTTAATTGCAACATGAAAAAAATTCAAGGAACATCGAACACATCTTTCGAAATCATGAAACTCTTCGGATCGCGGTGATTCTGAACAACGGATTAACACGCCTTGAAATCATCACAAGTGACGACACGAAAGTTTAACACGAAGCAATACTTTCTCAAGATGACTTGAGTTGCATCTGCAGGAACGAGGATCACTCAAATTAATATAGAAAGTGATCGATTTAAAACCCCGTCATTGCCAAACACGGTAAGAACTTCAGACGAAAGATAGATCAATTATCTTCTGTTCGCGTTGCTTTTGGTTGAAACAGCAACAGATCGGAGCCAACATCAAAGCTGAAAAACCTCAGAAGCTGTCGTATCATGAAACCCCGACGTAAGTTGGGGGTTTTTTTATATTTAAAAAAGCGTCGTAAGTTGAAACTGACGTAACATGGGCCCGTTGTAAGTCGGGGGCCCACTGTATACAGTCAACCCTTGATTTAGTGACACCAATTTAGTGCTACCCCATAGTGCCACAAATTTTCCTAAAACAAATCTCACTCAATTGTGTTCTTAAGTGAAACTCCAATTTAGTGCCAACTCACTTAGTGCCACAGAAAATGTCCCTCTCCTGAATGAAAAATAGGCCAAAATCTGAGAAATTGAGGCATATCGGATATCATTGGGATTTCACTGAGAATCATGCTCAGTCCATGCTCAGGAAAAGTTGTAAAAATTCTATTTTTTTATTCACATATAAACTGTTTGGTTTTATTTGAATATCCTACACAGCAAAGAGCATCTGAATAACTGGGATTGTCTTTTTAAACAAATTTGAATTTCACTCCACCTGATATTTGAATTGTGTGCTTTCATTGTAAGTTTGATACAAAGCTGCAAAAAACAGTCCCACTCTTTTACTTGCCACAATTGGTGCACAAATATATACTGTACCATACAACTGTATAACACAAAATTAAGATGTAGTACAAACAGTTCAATTGAGCCTCAAAGTATTTATGTTACCTTCCTTTTTTATATTAAACAGATTCAATAATGGTGACGCAATTCTGCAAAAAAAGCCTGTTTTACTCGCAGTAAAATCCCTCAAGTAAATATTCTTCTGATTCAATACCCTGATTTAGTGCCACCCTTGCTTAGTGCAACAACATTAGGGCAGGACAAACAATGACACTAATTCGGGGTTTGACTGTATTTAATTCAGACATGGTTTCACCGACAAGTCAGAAATCGACTCTCACCTCCAATCTTGTTGCCGTAGCACCTGTAGTCGACGACGGGTTCCTTGTCCACCAACCTCAGAGGGGACCTGTCACGGCTCTGGTGCTGGTGATGTTCCGTATTGGGCAGTGCTCCCTGGGCAAATGAACCCATCGCCACGCCGGGATCCCCTTCTTTTTCAAACCCCCGCGCCAATTCTTCACCCCCCTCCTCTTTTTTTTATTTTTTTTTCTTTCCTGGACAGGGCACAACACTCTGAAAAACTCGGCTCGACTGCGTCTGACAGTATTCTTCGTTCAGCACTTCACCTCTTCTCTCTCTCTCTCTCCTCCGTTCGTCAACTGCGTAGATAACAAAGACACATCCCACATTTCAAGTGCCTTACTTTTTTTTGTTGGGTCAATCACTGATGGAGTAGAATGTAAAATATTGAAATCAGAAGCCTTCCTCGCCTATAAGAAACGTGACGTAGAATTCCTTTAAAAAATCGGAAAAAGGTGCATCTTAGATATTAAATGCCTTCCTGTTCTTCTTTTCTGAACAGCTCGTGACGAAAGAAAAGCAAATATTTCGGGCTAAGGCGATTTCAAATGACAATGCCTGTAGTCTGGATATTAGAATATAATTTTTGGAAATTTGATATCCCGAAGTTTCATTGACATTCGTGCAAAACCTCGAACTCAGTAGCCCGTATAATTAAATTAATAAATGAGGATGAAGCGACATTTTGCAGAACTCGAATTTCTCTAAGAAATCTGAATTTTTTTTCAATCTCTGTACAGTACAGAACACTGGCTTGCTTTCATCCATGGGGAATTCGATACATTACCTACAGGTAAACTAACTTATTTCAGAACCTAAACTAATTCTTGGAAAATTGAAGAAAGAAAGATCGGCTCATTAAGCTACAGCACACGGAAATAAACTGTAACGAAACACAGGAGCTTTATAATACAAACTCGGTAGTGCACATAGAAGTAAATTTGTTATCAAATTGAGAAAATTTTCGGCATCGGAATACCGGAAAAAGAATCGTCAGACTTCGGTAAAACGAAAGCAAATGTTCGGGTTTCCACTCGGGAAGGGATACGGGAAGTTCGCTTTCTTAATCAACGCTGGGTCTTATAATTTTTATTTTATTTTGCTTTTTCACAAAGGGTGACACTGGAAATGAAAAAGAGAATATTGCGCAATTATATCAGAAAAGTTGGTTAACTGCTGGTTTTGATGTCGAGACTCCAGGAGAGGCCACTGAAGCACCTCATCAGGAGAACCCGGCGAATATTCTGCCAGTGAAGCTCGAGAGGGTCCGTGGGGAATATAGTGCCAGAGGCTGGCCGACTGCTTGCATCTGACACAAGGGCAAGCCGCGACTTTTCCCGTCTTAATAGTAAGGTGAGCGACGCCCCCCGTTGTTTTTCCCTCCTCAAAGCGGCCAAGGTAGCAAAAGCGACCCACAGTCCTTGTCTTGGGCATCGCTCCTTGAGGAGTGCGTTGATATGAAGGCCGTGGGACCAGAGAACGATGTGAGAGAACAGAGGAAAATCGATGCGGAGATCCGCAGCAAGAGGGGGTGTATAAAGGTTCTTTTGGGGGGGAGCGTTTGTTCATTGGGCGTGTCTGTGTGGGCGGTAGGTGGCGACATGCAGCCAATGGGCGTCGTTCTTCGTTTCCGCTAGGGCTAGAAAGTCCCGCCTATACACTACCCTCCCTCTCCCGCCGTTTTCCTATGATGTCGCGGCCGAAAACTAGCCACGAAGGAAGCATTATGGTGGTGTGATATTCAGCTGTCTACGTACTGGTTTAGTAGGTTTTACAGTGAAAGCAGAAAGCTGACTTTCTTGTCAGAACGTAAATACTGCACAAAGTGAACTCAAAACGAATTATCCAAGAAACAAACGCCGAAGAAGAAACGGAGATAGGGTTAAAGAAAAGGGCCTTCAATCCGACTTGGCAGCGGCACGAATGCGGTAAAAAAGGGGTTTTCAACCTTTTATGTAATGTACTGCTTCAAAATTTTGCAGATTTTCATGTACAGTACCATGAAAAATACCGCCTCTGTGGTGCATTCAGGTGGTTTGAAGTCACAATTTATTTAATGCTGTGAACTTTTATCTGCAGTCGCATCGTATCTGAGATTTTCATAGCTCAAAAAAACTTCTCTTCCAAATCATCATTTTGTCGTATTCAAAGTAAAGCTTGAGTTTTAGATCATGAATTCTTCAGTTTAGCTGGGTAATGAAAAAATCCACGTAATTTCTCCTTATAATGAAATGAAATATATACTTTTCTCTTGATTTTTCTTCTCTGGACGTAGCTCACTGAAACCTGTCTGGAAACCGTCATTTCTGTTTCCAATAAAATGTTTCTTGCATACCAGAGGTATTCTGAATTTTATACGTCAGTAACAGGCACAGTTTTCCAAAAATTTCGATTTCAAAAGTGGTGTGCATCAGGTACAGTATAATTTTTTTAGCTAAAAATTTGGTGATCTACATGTCTTACTTGAATCACTTTTTCGGGTTTTCGTTTTGGTTGCAAGTTTCCTGTTGGCTGCGTAAAATCTCTTCTGAACGGTAAAATCTCATCTTAGTTTTCATAACTATAAAATTTTCCGATGATGCACCGGTAAGAGACATTTTAGCTTATTCAAAAATGAATCACTTCATTTTGGTTTGATGAGGTTGCGGACTATTATGATATTTTTCAACCTTCGGCCCGCCCTTTTCTAAAACAAAGATCCAATGAGATATGAATGAAAATCCTGTTATTTTTTCAATTAATTTTATATATTCCACTGACGTTGTGCTAATGTTGCATTCGTTGCTTATTTCTACTATTGTATCTGACTTAGGGAATAGTCCGTTGGATTCGTTAAAAAAAAAGCGGTTAACTCGTGGTGCTCGAAACAAATTTTCAAATTTATTCGTTTCATATGCTTTTGGCAGTTGTAAGAATGTGATCACATTTTTGCTTCTACGTTGAGAAAGTTGAGTTGGAGAGGTGGTTCATTCGTATTTAATTCAATTTATTCCTCAATTTTGAGCAATTCTCGAGTGTTCTCAAAAAGCCTAATGCGTGTCTGAAACATTCAAGATGGCCTCCAATTTGCTGATCTGACATCCCCAAAAGGTTGATTCCTTTATTTATTTATTTATTGAATACCACACGTAAGAGGAAAAGAAAGGCGTGTTTTCATAATTGGGGCATATAACTTTTTTTAAGTTTGGGTGCGCTTCATATTTTACTCACTTCAGGAAACTGTTAGCCCCATTTAAAAACATATGATTTCAGAAACTGAATGCAACTGAAAAACAATTGCATTCTAGACCAACTCAGTACTGTACAAGTACAAATTCGATTTTGGTGGATTTCATTTTCGAATTGCCGCCATTTTTCAATCACAAACATATGGTGCGCATCTTACTAAAGGAATGTTTTCATGAATATACAGATGGTACCTTGCAATTCAACCTCCTGCAATTCAATGGTCAAATTTTCTAGGAGGTCAACTCACAATTCAACCTAGGCCCTACAATTTTACCCTCAGAAATGGGCAAAAACGTCAAATACAATGTAGAAAACATCACATTTGATGTGGCTCAGCAATTTGACCAATTTTCAAGTTGACCCTGGTCCAGTAAACAATTAAGGTCAAATTGCGGGGCATCACCTGTATTAGACTGGAAATAATTGGAGCTGTGTCTCAAGGGCGCATGGCACTTGAGTAAATACAGTACTGCTGTATACTGTAGTGTGTGACGGACACGCACTATATATACTGCATATCGTATACAGTATGCGAGGCCAAATAAATCTCCCAGAGTCGATGAGTTTGATGGAGTGGCAAAACGCAGCGTGGGAGAACCCGCGGGGAGGTTCGACCGCGAATTAATCCCGCGGGATGAATAATGAGGAGGAAAAGCTGTTCCGGTCGCCAAATTGATTTGTCTCGCGATGACGGCGTGCAGCCCCAGTAAACAAAGTCATTGATGCCCGACCGCCCGCCGCACTAAATCCCATCACCAAGTTCTCTTCTCTTTTTTTTCTTTTCCTCTCGTGTAAACGTCGCCCTGCTGGCTCTAACAAAGACCCCCGTTCCAAACACTCGTCATCGTCACCATGATTCACATCCGACAAATGATTTCACCCCTTCAAAAAATATAAATACTGTACTGTACTGTAAATAAAAAGGTGTCGGTGGAAAACCTGAGGGAAACTGACGCGTTAAAATCTGGTTTCCCCTGAGATAGTCTCGGTAAAATGAAAGCCGCATTCCGGATTTTTATTTTTAGCATTTATATTTCTGCCGGAAAGCCGAAAATAAAAATCATTTAATAAGTATTATACCCAAGAAAAAGCGATTGATGGATGCCCCCCGCATTTTGATAATCAAGTATACTGTACATTACATATTTATATGGTTCTCATCGCTTTTTATCAAAGGATTGAAATATGGAGACGGTTAATTGAACATATACACCGTAAAACCTACTTAATCGAGTTTCTACTCCTATTCCAGGATTTCACACGGTAATATTTACCAAAGTAAGAAAGTAAGGCCGTCACGACAACGCTGTATTTTTTCTAAAATCACAGTTCAGTCCAAGTGCGTTTCATGGCACAATTTCAGTTCATTCACCTTAGTGTTATAATTGATAAAAATTAACCTTGATTTTTTTCTTTTATATTCCTCGCTAAAGATATTCAAATTCAAATTCAAATACCTCAGCAACGCGTGTGTGTTCCGTTATATAAATATTATATTTTCACTCGTCGTGGTTTTTTGCTCTTTTCATTCGCTTTTTCAACGATTTCAGCCTGTTTTTTTTCTCGTTTTATTTGGTTCGGCATCATAAATACGTGTTTTAGAAACCAATTAAAGTTGGGAAATCATCTCGCGCATCCAAATATTTCCAAGCAAAAAAAAAGAGGAATATTTTCAGGAAGAAAAAAAAAGAAGAAACACATGAATTAGTTGAACAGAATAGAAAAACACACACGGCTGTATGGAGAGGCAGATTATCCTCGTGCGACGAAGAACATTTCAAAAGAGGCCCTTGTGGCGGTTTTTATTGTCGCTCCAACGCCGACGTTCGGCTCGGGGTCGCCGCCGCCGCCGCCTTTCATCTCCATCCCCCCACCCCGACAAA